AATTTACCAATATATAGAAACACTATCGCACCTTTAAGTCAATGATAATTACCATTTATAATAGAGTTGATAATGGTTCTATGTTTGCAATGGCTGCAATAAGAAAGTGGATAGAGATGTTAGTAATAAGTATCTAGATGATAAATGTTGTAGAATCGCCGATGATTTAGTACCAAGGTTAAGTGATATCCCTTATTCATGAAATAAATATATCAAAATTAATTATTAATATTATAATTTAAAGCAAATTGATAATATAAAATATAATGTATTTAGTTCATATCATCATGGAAAATGACACAAACAGAGTACATGTTACGTTATGACATAGCAGAAATTCTTATTGTTAGACCCTAAGGTCGCTATGAAAGAACCCTAGAGGGAGGGGGGGGGTGAATAAGGTTTATGCTAATCTAATCCGATTTAAATACCAATTAAAACTTACTAACAAATATATCCTAGCAAGTATGATATGCTACAAGATATGTGCAAGGATATATAATATAAACAAGGGTAAACAAAATTAACATGCAATAAGGCGATATAACAATATGCAAGAATAAATGCGCCAATGCCAAACTCAAACACAAGGAAATGATCACGGAGTTCAGACCTTCCGTCCTACGTCTCCGCTCCCCACTCCCGGGGAGAATCCACTACACAACCCGGTTTGGAAGCCGGAACTTCTCTACACACTCGGTTTTCTAGCTAACCGAAAACTCTACACACTCGGTTATCAAGTCAACTGACAACTCTCACAAATCCTCACAATGTACATACAAAAGCTACAACCTCAAGTGTTGGTCCTCACGTATCGAATCCCTCAAGTGCTCGGAATTATCACCTCTCACTAGGCCACCGACGCCACTCCTCTCGGTATCGACTCCGTCCTCACCACACACTCCTCTCGGTGTACAAGTGTATTACAAAGTGAACTTCACAAATTAAGCACAATAAATGATTGTTCTCTAAACAAGGTGAGAACTCAATTAGGCATAACTCTAAATCACAAACCCCACAACCCAAAATATATTATGAATGTAAATACTATAAGCTCAATAGGTTGTGTGTGAATAAAGAGATTCAATAAAACAATTTAACTAAACTCAATATAAATCTAGCTTATGGAAATTAGAAACAAAATAATAAATAGCTAGAATGAGTGTAGGAAAACTTCTCTATAGATCAAGAGAGAGAGAGAGAGAAATGAGTTGAAGCTCAAACACCAAAGGATGATCTCTTCTTCTTCTTGTGAAATTCTCTTCACAAACAAAACTCTTAAACATTCTTTTAAACAAACTAAAACAAACTTTAAACCCTTGTTAAACTTGTTTAAAATATTCTCTTAGTTAAACTAAAAAATGAGAGCAAAGGGGGTTTATATAGCCACCCAAAACCTCAGCCAAAAACCCCAAAGGAAAAGATCAAAAAGCCCAAGAATCAGAAATCTGATTCTGTACAAATATAGCCGTTACAGTGTTATGGGTCGACTCATCACTGTTCATGAGTCGACTCATAACTAGCTGTTACAGGCTAAAAACAACTTATGGGCCGACTCATAAAATTCATGAGTCGACTCATCATGCATGGGTCGACTCATGAAGTCATGGGTCGGCTCAGCAGAAACAAAACACACTTTGCAGCACAGTTTGTGAGTCGACTTATGACAGACATGAGTCGACTCAACCTGTCTGGATCGACTTATGATGTTTATGAGTCGACTCTTCAAAAACAAAATGTAAACTACACAACAGTTTATGAGTCGACTCAACACTGTTCATGAGTCGACTCAAGACATGCACACAATCTGTTTTAAACAGAAATCTGATTTTCAAACCTCTTTTAAAAATAGCAAATAAAATCAGGAAAATGTAAAACTTTAGGAAATGATTGTAGACATGATAATAAACATGCTATAAAATCTGGTTTTCAAAAAGGACTTCCTAAATGTAAAATATCATCATTTTGTAAGGAGGTCCAAAACATAGAAATGTAAACATATGAATTTCGACATTTTGCCTAAACCATATTTTAAAACTTTACAAAATGATTTTATAGACTTGAAGAAAGATGTAAACTATTGTTATGAAGTCTATAAACAATGAATATAGTATTTTATCAAAATACACATATAATGCACTAAAACATGATTTCATTGAACTAAATAAAATTGATATTGATGAAATCATATATATGCATATAAGTATGAAACAAAAATATTTTTCTAATTATATTAAATTGTTTCATATTAAAACTTGAAAACTATCAAACCAAAACATATATGTATATATATAACTATATATATACAAAACCAAAACGTGTATGTGTGTATATGATTGAGCTTAAAGTACTAACACACATAATATAAACTCCTAAACTAAATTACCCAAGCTTGATGAAGGTCTTAAATGAGCTCAACTTGGTACACTTGCGGATGAAGCTTGAACTTGGATGTTCAACTTGAATTTGCATAGCTTCAACCACTATTCCACCAACCTCCATTTGATATGATCGTTATGACGCAATCCATCCATCCTCCAACTTGTTGTTTGCCTAGAATAAATACAACACATAAATACTAGACAAACAACATTAGATGTAAATTGTTTGTAAATCATCATCAAAACAAGAAGGCCAACACTTATTGGATGCACAACAGAAAAATTCATTGTAGAGAAAAAGAGGTAGCTCTTAACATTATTTAAGTAATAAACTAAAAGCAAATTTTTTTTTTATATATATGAAATTAACATTTATTCATATTGAAATAGGAAAAAATCAAAGTCTGTATTGTCAGAAGTTTGTGTTGAACATAAGAAATATATTCAACTTCTTTGTGAATTTAGACGAGAAGACAAAAGATGAATGAGCCCAAGGAAAGATAACATGCTCCAGTCTCATATCACAATCGATGTAGACGATGAAGACACTACTCTAGAGTTACCTAGGAAAAAGGTAAAGATGAAGAATGATTGATCTCGACTCAATAAAAAATAAGATAGAAGCAACAAAAGATAATGTTTTGTGAATTGTTATAGAATAGTTTTATTTTTTTTTAGTAAAATTAGGAATCTTTAGAAGGGATTTTCATAAACTATTTTTAGTGCTTTCATATGCATATGTTGATGTTTTTATCATATAAAAGTGTGCTAGAGTTAGCATTAATCTTCAGTTTATGATTTTTTATTAACTATTTTCTATCATTTTAGCCCACTTTAAATCAATCATCTTGGCTCATTGGCTTTATTATTCATCTTCCTTTTATAATGTTATTTTTTCAAGTGTTTTCACTTTCATAACACTATACTTTCTCAGGTCAAGCTCGGTTTCATGTCGATCCAAATGAATAAAAATTTAAATTGGCTTTAGATTATATTTATCTCTTGACAATTCAACTATCAACATAAAAATTTAAACTGTGTGTAGCCTATTCAAACAAACATCAAATAAATAAATAATTAAAGTGTGAACAAATTTTAGTAAGAAAATAAACTAAAAATACTTAATAAAAGTGAGCAAAAATTATCAAAGAACAATCGATGAACAAATTTTAGTAAGAACATAAAAAAAAAACCCGAATCACAGTATTTAACCACGTGCAATCAGGTGCATTGCACATGCATAAAATTTAGTAGTAATAATACTAGCAATGCTATAATATAGTCACTCCTTTTTATTAAATCCACCCACATCATCACTCTTAAAGCTGCACTAATGTATTTTAAGAAAAGGGTACACGAATATCAAATACTAGTTTAAGGCCCATGCGATGCACAGATTTGTTTAATATATAAAAATTAATTGTAACAAAAGAATGTAAAGTAAAACAGTAATAATATATAAGTAGTCAGAAATAATACAACCTAAGTTGCATATATAGTTTGGAAAATTAGAAAGTTTGGAAAACTTGAATCGGTTTAAGATCATATATAGTTTGAAAAATGTAATTGTATAAAAACGGTATTCAGAAATATGGTGGGAGTTATTTTATTATTTAGAAGGTAGAAAAAATTCAAAATTAAAGTAAAATGTCAAAAAAGTACCAAAAATGGGTAAACTTTAAAAAAATGAAAAAAATTGAAAGGTTTGGAAAAAATGTGAACATATGGGAAAATAATATTTGAACATTTTGTGTGAGTCATATCAATATTTAAACCGTTATAACTTTCCAACAAACTTGGTAAAATAAAAGTGTAATGTCGAAAAACAAAGAAAATATAATATCTATCATATAAGGGGTGTATGACGTCTACCTGATGAAAATATGAGACAATGTAATACCAAAATCAAATAAAGTCAGTGTAAGAAAATTGTATATGATTGCAATTTAAGAACATCATCAAACCATAAGACTACGACATAAGAAGTACTCAATTAGTTAAATAAAATGTAACTTTCACATACTCTATATAAACATAAGAAAGAACAAAAATATTGAAGTGAAATGCATTGCCATTGGAGAAAAATAACAAAACATAATATAAGAGAAATACATTCTAGTAAGATTATATTGAGTTCATCACTTACCAATAGTAAAGATAAACAAAGAAACAAACATATCTGAAACAAAAAAAAATATAATTATATAGAAAGAAAAGAAAAATACACTTGTATTCAATAAGATACATGAATTGAAAAATAAAATTTTAGTTTGTCAAACATGCACACAAGCAGGCACCACTACATTCATATATATTACAAGACACGCTCAGATAGAGCTAACAAATTTATCCAAAACTTAAAATCACATTAGAATAATTTCGTGCTATGAATTAGTCGAAAGGGGAAAATTTTACAGTGTGAGGTGGGTGAAATAATTAGAGGTGAAGAAATAAAAAGGGGTGAGAAGGTGGGTGAAAGGAGATGTGGGTGAAAGACTAATATGGGTATGTGTCATTTTTGCCATGTGTTATTTTTGTTGGGTGGCGTTTTCAAGGGTATGTGTTATTTTTGCCGAGTGGCGTTTTTAAGGGTAAGAGTTTTTAGTAATAGTATATCGATGTATGCTTGTAAGTTTTCCCCGTTCCCTAACCTCCGCTGTCCGCATCTCTTTTCCCTCCGCTCCTCTCTCATCGTTCGCATCTCCATTTCCTCTCTCCTCTCTCTCCCCGCTCGATCCAACGAGGCGAGGTCTAATTCTCTCAATTTTCGGTCTAGAACTCTGTAAATTTTAGGGTTTTTCTTTTCTTTTCATCATTCTTCGTGTTATTGGTCTGTAATCAGATCCGTATAGGGTTTCTGATCTAATTGGGCTTCTCCTTTTGGATTTTAGGGTTTGAAAGGTTTCGATGGAAGGATTCAACAGGGGAGGCAACAGTGAAGTGTTCTTGCCTAATTATAAGCTTGGCAAGACGCTGGGCATTGGATCTTTTGGCAAGGTGAAGATTGCTGAGCACGTGCTCACTGGGCATAAGGTCGCCATTAAGATCCTCAATCGGCGAAAGATCAAGAACATGGAGATGGAGGAGAAAGGTATATTGAAACTGGGGTTTTTCCAAGTGCCAAAAGCATGCATTTCGATTGGCAAGCTGTTTGAGCTATTGTGCTACTTTTGTTCAATTTCGATTATTTATTTATTTGCTTTCAGTTTGCAGAATTTCTCTTCTAGGAAATAGTTGAGACCACAAACGTGATCCGATAGTAGCTTGAATTATATTGCAATAGAGGCGATTACTTTATATTTAATTTCTCTTCTAGGAAGAGCAGTGTTTTGTTCTCATTATGCAATTGTGCTTTGGGCGTGTGTGTTTCCTCATGTGGCTGCTAACCTACCACTTGTTGTCCCGATATGTATCTGGAGTTGATGCTTTGCCGATTTTAGTTCTGAAACATTCCTTCAAATGAGATGCATTTTATATAACCAGCATTCAAATTGCTCTTCTGGTGACTGAGAGGATATATCTGAAAAATATTTATCTTGACGTGGATAAGTTTCAGCAGTAGGTACAGCATAAATATTATGCCAATTATATTTATTGTGTTGGTGAAGAATGACTTGAAAGCAGCAAAATTAGGAAACCAGTTTGAAACACCATGCCAACAATTTAAGTTTCTTAAGTACTCCAAAAAGCACGACTTTATATGTTATATCCCAAGAAATTCATTTGTATTTTTCTGCAGCATTGCATCTGGTGCTCCCAATTAAACTTGAGTATACACTTTTTCTTATAACTAGCAGACTAGTTCAACCAGCTGCACAAAGGAAATAAGGAATAAGCTTATTCAGGAGAACTTGTTTGGTAGAGAAACTTCAAAAGGAAGTTTTGGTTGTTAAGGGACAGCTTTTGAGGAAGAATATCCAAGTAGAGGGCAAGAATCAAGATGGAAAAATTTCTTCCTGGTTGCAGCGGTGTAATTTTTGAGCTATCTGTGTATTTTTAATGCATTCGAATTAAATTATCTTCAGTTCAGTAGCTCAGGCTAACTAGGAGTCTGGTTGGTATTTAAGAAATATTGTGGCAACATGAGGCTTATCAAAAAGATTAGAATCTTCTACTATTGAGTTGATTATCTATGCCCTTATGGACAACCAAATAATTGTTAGCTCTTAATGGAGTATGGGTGTCATCTCTAAGTGATGTAAAAAAGTTCCCCAATCAATTTCAGTTTCTTGTGGCAATGATGATGTTGATATTTCTTCCTTTATTATTGTATGGTTAAATGGTACATTTGGGAGACTTGTTTTCTCCCATTTCTTTTTTCTTCTATTGCTCTGTTTCTATTTTACTCTCTGCATATTGTTTGGCATTCAAGTCATCATGGCTGACTACATTTAGACCAACAAATGAGTGTGCTTGTTTTTATATGATACTATGAATCAGTGGAAGAGCTGATATAATCAACGAAATAAGTAGCAATTGGGTAGCAATGTAAAGATCACGTCATAAGAAAGTTATTAAAAAACATCATTATAAACTTTCACTAAAATAATTAAAGGAAGTACTAAAACTACATTAAGCATAAAAATTTGTAAACTAATATTTTTTACAATATTTATAGCTGAAATTTATTTTTTGTTATTATTTCTTTCTACATTAAAAGTATGTGAAAATTTGAAACTTCAGATAGTTCAAAATGGTTAAATATATACGCTAACTTTGCAACATTTGCTCAAAAAAATATATTAGGCCCTATAAAGCAATAAAAAAGTTGAGTCGGGCACCTGCCTTACCTCAAACAAGACTAACTCCTCCCTTTAGGGGAATTGCCATATATGTAGCATGATCTTTCTGATATAAGTTTATTTGTGTTGCAGTGAGACGAGAGATAAAAATTTTAAGATTATTCATGCATCCTCATATTATTCGCCTGTATGAGGTCATCGAGACGCAAACAGACATCTATGTGGTGATGGAGTACGTGAAATCAGGTGAGCTGTTTGACTACATCGTGGAGAAGGGTAGACTACAAGAGGATGAAGCTCGACGGTTTTTCCAGCAGGAAAGTATATAAAATTTTAATATGTTATTTCTGCTAAAATTTCCTTCATAGCTATAATAGCCGATTCTCACCTGGAAAAAAGAAGAAGAAAAGAAAACAAAAAGGCTTTAAAATTTTACCCGGCTTAGAGGCTTGCAGACCCTTTAGCCTTCTGTTTTGGTTCATTTTAGATGATTCAGTTCTTTCATTTTTGTTTTTTTTGAAGGAAAGATTTGATTAGTAGCGTTTGTTGCTTTTGCTTCACAGGTCTTTATGGAGAATCCTTTTCTTTGTTAACTCATACCTCTTTTGCTTCACAAGTTCTGGTTTGCTAAGACATTTATTAACTTGAAATAACGATTTGATTTGTTGCCAACTTTTGGAAGTTTATTTTGTTGTTTTCTGCAAAGAGAAAGTGCTGCCGAATCCGGTTTTCCCTATTTCATATGTTCTTTCTTACTAATCAAATCACCGAAAAATCTTTTTTTCCCTTCAATATATTATTCTCCATGTCGTCCTTAAGTGAAAGCTTACAGAAACTAAATTGTATTATGATATTTAGTGAAAATATATTGCATTTCTCTTGATTTGAAATCAGAAGTCAACTCAATATCGTAGAAACTTCTTCATTCGTTTATTCACTGTTATATGCTCTGATGGAAGCAGATCATCTCTGGTGTTGAATACTGCCATAGAAACATGGTAGTCCATAGGGATCTGAAGCCAGAGAACTTGCTCTTAGATTCGAAATGCAATGTCAAAATTGCTGATTTTGGCCTCAGTAACATCATGAGAGATGGCCATTTTCTGAAGACCAGCTGTGGGAGTCCCAACTATGCTGCTCCTGAGGTGGGGTTTCAATACCTGTGATGCTGTAAAGGTTTGATTGCTATTGTGCATATAAGTGTGTGATGAATGCTGAGTGCAATTTTTTGTTGTGTAGGTTATCTCTGGCAAGTTATATGCTGGACCTGAGGTTGACGTGTGGAGTTGTGGTGTCATCCTCTATGCTTTGCTTTGTGGAACACTTCCGTTTGACGATGAGAACATCCCAAACCTTTTTAAGAAGATAAAGGCAAGAAAATCTCAGGCTATTCTTTCATTCAACGACAAGTCATTTTTTTGCTGGTATTGACACCCTGAGTTAGGATGTTTGGTTTTGTAGGGTGGGATATACACTCTTCCTAGCCATTTATCTGCTCTAGCAAGGGATCTGATACCTAGGATGCTTGTTGTTGACCCTATGAAGCGAATGACCATTCGTGAGATCCGTGAACATCCATGGTTTCAGGCTCGTCTTCCTCGTTATCTGGCTGTGCCTCCACCTGATACAATGCAGCAAGCTAAGAAGGTAAATTGTTCTCAAGCTGCTTAGTTATGATATTTTGTTCAGATCTTAGTTTTTTTTTTATGTGACATAGATGACGGCAATATTTCTCAATCATGTTAGCATTAACATTCATTAAGGACTAACATTGCTATCAGAAGATGATGTACATACTTTTACTGATGTCAATCCTTTTCAGGATTGCTCTTCAACTTCTTCTACTCGTTTTCTATTCATGACCAGTAGAATAGAATTGTAAAGATTACTGTTTACCTATTTTTTTAGAATGATTAATATTATCTAATCAAATATATTCAAATTTATGGTTATGAGACATGGTTTTCTATGCATCAATTTTGTGGTTATGTTAAATCTTTGCTTATGATCTACGCTTGTTTTAGTGTTGTTGCGCTACTGAGTTTATGATCCCCTTGTTTGTCTATCTTATTTCTAGATTGATGAGGAAATCCTTCAGGAGGTAATTAAAATGGGTTTTGAAAAGAACCAGCTGATTGAATCACTTCATAATAGAATTCAAAACGAGGTATTTCCCTGAGTCCTTATGAACTAAAACTTAAAGCAAATTGTTATGGAACCATAACTTTTTTGCTTTGAGGTTGTATAGGGAACTGTTGCATACTATTTGCTTTTGGACAACCGCTTCCGTTCTACTACTGGCTATCTTGGGGCAGAGTTTCAGGAAACCATGGTACACTCTTAGATCTTCAGCTTCTACAGTATAATGTTTACTGTTAGAAGTAATTAGCAGATACTTTATTTGCTCTTAAAAATGTACAAGGATAACATCCATCTGTTTAGGAAACTGGTTTATCTCGGATGAATTCGGGAGATGCTCCAACTTCGGCAATTGCGCATCGTTTGCCAGGATACATGGACCATCAGAATATGGGTACGAGACCACCTTTCCCAGGTGAACGGAAATGGGCACTTGGACTTCAGGTCTTCTGTCTATCTGTATTATGTATCTTGCTCTCTAATACATTTTCCCCATGCTTAAACACGCTTTATTATTATTATTATTATTATTATTATTATTATTTTGAATTTGCAGTCTCGGGCTCATCCTCGTGAAATTATGACTGAGGTCCTTAAAGCTCTTCAGGACTTGAATGTCTGTTGGAAAAAGATAGGACACTACAACATGAAATGCAGATGGTTGCCTGCATGTAATGGTAATTCTAATGGTATGCTCAATAGTCCCATGCATGCGAATCATGGCTTTGGTGATGAATCTACCATCGTTGAAAGTGATGATGCAATTGGAAAGTCAGCTAATGCAGTCAAGTTTGAAGTTCAAGTAAGTTATTTGCTTTCCTTATATATATATATATATATATATACACACACACACACACACACACACACACACACACACACTCATGTGTGCATGTTAGCATGTTAGGCATTGACGAAAAAATGTTGACTGCAATAGCTAAGGAACTCTGACCCTATCTATGTACTGCCCCTACTTTGAAGGAGACATGCATATTAGGCATGTATTCAATACTTGGACACTCTGATACTTGATGCACATGCATGCTAGGCATTGAATGCATGTTAGGCATGCATTCAATACTTGGACACTCTTATTGGCAATGACGAAGAGTGTTGACTGTCGTAGCTAAAGGACTGTGTCGCTATTTTTATAATGCCCCTACTTTGAAGGAAACGTTATCATATCAGGCGCATATTCAATATTTGAACACTCTGATACTGCATGGACATGCATGTTAAGCCTTTTAGGCGACATGCTCAATGCTTGGTGTCTTTGACACTCTGATGCTTGATGCCCATGTCCTAGATTTTCTTTTTGTAGTATGCTAAAAGTTGTGACATAACCCAGATGCATCAAAGGTACATGATAGATCACAGATGCGTGCTAAAAGTTTTAGTAGCCAAGTCTATGAATGTCATGTTCACGATTCTATTTGATCCATAGATGAATTATGCGATGATACGTTTTTTGAAGTATCCTAAAACTTGATGGATGCATGTTAAGTACTGTTTTTCTGAGATATCCTGAAAATTGCAGCTTTGCCTATATGTATCAAAGGCATATGACAGTTGTATTTGACACTAAAATGTTAAAATTCAAGTTTATGAATGCTGGCTTCATCATCAATTTGATCTGCAGATGCATTGCATTTATATTTTCCCCCATATTTCGCAGTGATGAAAATGGTTGTTCAGCTAATTATTAAGTTAGATAACCTGAAAATATTCATATATCCAAGATTCTGAATATTAATACACATCAAAATTTATTTTTGTTGCATCTAGTACATGCAGGCATCCTAATCTTTTACCTCTTCGTATCTGTGACTTCGTTTATCCATTTTAGTGCCATTTTCATTTTTAGCATACATACATAAATACATAAGCACGCGCGCACGCACATACAATTCGTTAAATTACTCGCTATTCTGCATTTATTCAAATGCTGACAATTATGTCTATATATGTGTATTTTTTTAACGAAACAATTATGTCTTGTGTATTAGACAGATATAGATCAATTAGAGTTTATCACATATGGTCTCAATCTTGATGGATTTTTCTGTTTTGTAGCTTTACAAGACTAGGGAGGACAAGTATTTGCTCGATCTTCAGAGGGTCAACGGGCCACAGCTCCTCTTCCTTGACCTCTGTGCTGCTTTCCTTGCTCAGCTTAGGGTCCTATGATGATGCGCTCTGTGGTCTGCTTCTGAGCACCACATTGAGCAGTGAAATATATGAATTTGGATTTTCATACCCTAATGTAAATATAATAACTGGCGCTGTTTTAATTGCCATGTCCTTTTTCTTTTTCACTGTTTTAAAAGCTCTGTTGCTTATCAAGAAGCTGAAGGCAATGGGCTGTCTGCTGATGGCTCCATCGTGATTTCGTGATGGTTTTTGCCATGCAATTTGCTTTCCTCAACTCTTGCTGTAAACTTGTGTTATTCTGATGGGAGTAGCATATACCAAAATTTAAATTTTGAGCCTTTACTAACCCTTTTGTTCCTTCTGTTCCTTTTTTTTTTGGGTTGAAATCAATTAGGCAAATGCAGATTTCTTCAATGGAACAAAAATATGAAGGTTGTAGACAGTTTTTCTTCATAGCTTGAGCAGCTCCAGAGATCTGTTAGTGAGTGCGGGCAGGCGTTCAATTTGAGGGATCTGATATTGCCCTTAGGGCTTGTTTGGATTGAGGGGAATGAGGGTGAAGGGAAGTTAGGGGAACCATTCACCTCCATTCACCTTGTTTGGGAACACTTAGCATTCACCTTGTTTGGGAACACTTAGGAGGTGAAGTTAATTCACCCTAGTTCCCCTTGGTTCACCCCCTAATAGTATAAAATTTGTTACCCTTCAAATTGGGGTGTAACCAAAGGGAAGGGAACTCTCTTCCCTTCCCTTCCTTTCTCCCAGTTTCCCTTAACTTCCCTTCACCCCTTACAAATCCAAACAGGCCCTTAAGCTACTAATATAAGCGAGCTGGGATTTGAATCTCCATCTCATAATTGTTTTACCACAATGGCAAAATAAATGAAGAGCAAAATTTTCAATATATGCGATAGTGTTTGTCTGTGATCAGGATTGACCACCAAGTTAGTATATACTGATGGGCGTGTTGCAGAAATTCCTCTGATCGCGTAACCCCGCAAAGTGTAGGGTGTTCTCTATAATTTCGAAAGTCTAAGGGAAGTTTCTGCAAGTTGATCCAAGGTTCAGGGGGCTTTATACAAACTTCTTTCGGCTAAATACTCATATTGGTATTTTAATTCAACCCCATTTGCCAAGAAGGTATTTTAAATAAAAAAATCGGCGTTAAGGCATTTTAATTGATTAAAATTACCAATTAGGTCCTTTTTCTTGTCGGCGACCACTTTTCCGGCGAGAACTCGTCACGTGCGTGACACGTGATGACTTAATCTGTGTTTTAGCTGATGATGTGGCTCGGTTTGCTGATGTGGCTCGGTTTTAGCTGTTGATGTGGCTTAATCACAATTTAAATCCAAAACGAACCAACCTGAACCCTAAAAATTTCAAAACAAAGATCAAACTTCCACGCATTCACTCCAGATCTCAGATCCAACTCAATTATCTTACCTTTACCGCTAACAGAAGCAGCCAAAACCCCCGATTCCAGGAACTTCTAGAAGAAAACGCCATGGGAATTCGGAGAGAAGAGAGTGAGAAGACGAAGATCACTGCAGACTAGATTGCCGCAGGCGCGGCCATGGATCGATGCAAGAGAAAGAGGTTCTATTTATACGGTAATTTCTCCACTAATTTTTCGCTAATTTTTTTACCAATTTTAGAAATGGGGGATTTTAAAATGCATCGACTCTTATTCTTCATGCCACTGCCACGTCAGAAAACCGGTTGAATTAAAATGCACGTGACGAGTTCTCGCCGGAAAAGTGGTCGCCGACGAGAAAAATGACCTAATTGGTAATTTTAATCAATTAAAATGCCTTAACGCCGATTTTTTTATTTAAAATACCTTCTTGGCAAATGGTGTAGAATTAAAATACCAATATGGGTATTTAGCCAACTTCTTTCGGATCTCATTTATCGGGTCGGGTCTCGGATCCAGATAACACCCAACAAGAAGCTCCCATCCTAGTAACGGCTCTCTCTCAATCCCGAAAAAGGATTGCCAAGTGCATTATCCTCCCTCTTCTCTTTCCTCTCTCCCTTCTCTTCTCCTCCTCCCATTTTCTCTCTCATGGCCTCGACCTCCACGTTCTCTCACCCCCCTCTCCCTTCTCTCACTCCTCGTCTCCTCTCTCCTCGACCTTCACCTCTCTCTCTTCCCCTATCCAATTCCTCTCCTCTCTCATCCCTCCCAATTTCGATTCCCAGCAAAAGATTACGTGCAGTGAGTGCAGATGGACCGACTGCGGGCCCAGATCGGAGGTCGGGAGTCTCGGTCTACAAGCCCAAATCGTATGAAGTTCTATTGTCTGATGCTGCTAGGTCTTTGGTCTTTGCTCTTGATGAAGGGAAAACCAGGCTCGAGATCGAATTCCCGTGAGCTTAATTCCCTTCTCTTGAATTTTTTTTTAAAAAAATTCATTCTTGTGGTTTTGTGAAGACCCATAACCGTTTCTGTTACTTTTTGGCTGGGATTTTTTTACGTGATTCGGACACTTTTATAGTAATATCTCTATGATTATATTAAGTAGTAGATTATAGATTATCAAGTTTCTTGTCAAGTGTAGAATTTATTGGTTTAGGTTATATGGCACAACTTAGAATTTTGTACCCCTTTTCCAAAATAAACGAGCATTGTCAGGGGAGTAATAGTATTTATCGTTAATTATGTGTTATTCTTCAGCCCAGTTGTATGTGAAGAATTTTTTATACTTCAAACTTTTTCTCTGTTTGTGGGTCTTGTGAAGTTAACCAAATGACTCATTTTATTTGCATACAAGAGGACAGAAATAAAGAGTTATGACTAGAGAATGATTTAAAACTTAAGAGGGGAGCATCAAATCTAGTATATGAGGAGACAATAGGTAAAAATGAGTTTATCGGTTTCTAGATTAGCATGGAAAATGCTAGGCAGTTAAAAATTGCCTTAATCTTTGATAAAGCTGCCGGAGGTAAGTATTCAACCATTGGTATACAAGGATTATATGGAGGACACCTTCAAAGGAGCCAGGACATTCAAAATACAAATGAAGATGACAAGATGTGATGATGTCTCCCTATGACATGAGTGAAAGGTTTAATTGCACATAGACCCCTGTACTGGCGCATTCTGCTACTTATAACCCTTAAGTTTGAAATAGGCAGATGAACAACCAGGAAGGGGATGGTGTTTTGGTTCAGTTAGTTGCTGGTCCCACACGCGTCCCATGTGGGTAAATTTTTGCATTCCTATTCAGTCTCCTTCATTACCTTATTGAACGCAACTGCACACATATGCTACACACAAAACCGAACTCTGGCAAGTAAATCTACAATCAAATACATCAATATACACTACACTGGCTGGCACAAATTATTATCAACAAGCACTGCACTAAATAATTACTCAAGCATAAATTCAGAAATTATTTACTTATCTTCAGTTGGTCTGACATTAGTGTCCAACAACGCTCCACAACCATGCCTACAACCTCCATCAGATAAGTGTGGAAATTATGTTCAATATGATTTGCGTTCTGCCACTACCATTTCTCATGCAATAGGAAACATCTGGTTGTTTTCATCTCTCTTGGTAATGTCCCTCTACATTTGTGCTTTATGAGACATCCATCGAGGCAAATTATCGGTCTGCAATAATTTTTGAACCCATCTATTGAAGCTTTCAAGCTAATAAAGATTCTCTCAAAATTTGGTGGACCAGTGGAATGTACCCTATCCACAATCAATTTCACCACACACCCAGGATTAATCTCCAACAGAATAATGTTCTCCAAATTAACCTTGGACGTTGTTGAACTCTTCTCTGTAATGTATATGCTTCCCACCTAAAGGTCATCAATCCAATGCGTCTTTTCAAAAATTTGGCAACTAAGTACCTGTTAATTTTGGGATCGTCTCTAATCAAATCAGTGTACATCCTACTATCGATGGCACTATCCAAGTGCCTTATACTACTGACATGATGACATTTATGACATGCATTGGAGCTTTTTATTTGGAAAACTATCTTGTCTCGTTCCATTGAAACATCCAAGTGCATAGCTGTGCATACATACTACCTGCGGTCGCTCGGCTTGACTCAATGTTATCTTGTAATCATAATCATGGGTGAATGCATCATATCTTAGAGTTTCTCTAAATTCAACTCCACTAGTAAACTCTAGCCAAACACATAAATTAAGTTGATCAACATCTGATTGGAACTGAAGAACTTCAATGAACTTCTTAATATCCAACCGTATGAATAATCTGAACCATCACCTGCACCTACATTATATGGAAAAACATTAATAAAATACATGACTTCATATTAGAAGATGTTAAATAGTGAAAACTTAATAGTAATTTAGATGGTGGAGCATCCTTCCTGCTGTATATTAATTTATGCTGTACATTAAATAATTGCTCAAATATAACTTTATAGTAGATTTTTAGTATCTGTTCCATGCTTTCTTTGTATTTAATTTAAACATTTCTTTGATTGCGAATATTATCATCATGTATTCTGATACTTTGTTTGTTTACCTACTTTCTTGGGGGACCCATATGACGGGGAAAATGTAACCAGACCCTTGCCAAGCAGCATTTCTTCTTACAAGGTATTTATAGTTGCTCTAAGTGTTCCCACTGTAACTTTATTGTGTTAAACTAATAATAGTTAAACAGTTTAGAATGAGGAACGTTAATCAGATATATCAACATAAGAGTGACACATAATATCTAACCAGAATCTCAAGATATGAATGCAGCTAGTTTGACGCAAGAATATTTCTAAAATAAATTAATAATAAAAAAATCAAAGGATGGATCCATAGCTTATGACAGCTGCTCTAAGTTGAAGAATGCTCCTGCTATAACTTTTATTGTGTTAAATTAATAATAGTTAAATAGTTTATAATGAGGCACCTTAATCAGATATATCAACATGCGAGTGACAAATAATATCTAACCAGAAGCTCGAGATATGAATGCAGCCAGTTTGACGTAAGAATATTCCTAAATAAATTAAAAATCAAAGGATGGATTCATAACTCGTGACCTTCTCCATATGTCATATTGATGAAGGGATCTTCAGATGAGTTCATTGATGCCAACATTCAACTTGCCCTTGCTGTTGTCAGAATACTTTATGAAACGAAAGGGACCAGGTCATGCATTGTAAGTTATATTTTCTGAAAGTTATTTTCTGTTTTAACTTTTGTTTTTTATTTATTATTTTAGATATATTTATTTTGCCTCATAGAAGCGAGAGGATTTTTGACTTTTAGTTTACTGTTAACAATCTATTTGTAGTCTCTTAAGAGTTTAAGATGTAATATAATGCTCCTGAACAAACCGCAAGGTCTTTAGTTATGGTATACATTGTGATTACAAGACTATCTTTTCACTACCTCTGGAAAGTGAGTTATTCTAAAATATCAGCTTCCACTAAATAATTTGCGATGGTAACAAATGGAATTTTATGGCCCAATAAAGTTAAATTCAACACTTGCTGATTTTTTCTTAACAAATACGATTGAATAATAATGGTGATGTTCCTTTGAATATTAGAAACAAACAGGAAAGCATATACATCTTGCAGTCTTTTAAGGAATGCATTAATTATATATTCCAAATCTGAATATTTTTTATTATTTATACTTTCTATAGACTAATGAAGTTCGTATGTACATTTTCTCATAGCGATAGTTCTAAAACAAGTCTCAAGAGTTAAACTATCAAATTCAGATCATATAACTCAGCAGGTTTTGTCTCTAGTAGAGCTCTCAATATAATTAGTTTTTGAAAAAGACTCCATGACTGGAACATATGCATACATTTATGCATGCATGCATACATACATACATACATACATACATGAACACATACAGGCATACGTTACATAAGTAGGATTTTCCCCTTAGCTCTTTGATATGATTTAACAAGATCATCAAACTTATGTTAAAACAGGTGTTTCCTGATCAACCGGAAAAGCGCAGGGCTTCAGAGTTGTTCAAGACAGCTATTGATAATGTATGCACTTGTTCTTTTTGTTGCTAAAGGAGTATAACTCTTCCATGACTAATGCTAGGATTTTAAGTTAGTTGATCCATCAATGCTCTTATGTGCCTATGATAAACTTCTCTTGTTCTATCCTGTTATTCATTTTAGATTGGTGCAGTTATTCTTGGTTCCTTGGATGATGTACCGAGTGGAGCGGTTAAAAGCTTCTTCAAGTCCATAAGAAGCACCTTAGATTTTGATTTTGCAGACGATAATGAAGGTTAGCTTACATACTCCCAAGAAATAGATATTGCAAGCATAAGGTAAACATATCCATGTCCTTTTTTTATTTAGTAGATAACATTCACAATGGCATTTGCCTATGCATTATGTTTGTTGTTGAATACTGAGATCAGTCTGAGCAGTAATAAATATGGAGCTTTATTCCAATCTTCCTGCGGTGCTTAAATCAGTGTCTTGGAGCAGGAACATCAGGCTGAGTGGCACGGAGAAATTAATGGTGCATACCTGAGACTGTTGGAATTTAAGCCAATAATAAGCCAATAATAGTGCGGGACAGGTGTATTTTGATAATTTTGCATTAGGGGTCTTTCACTACTTTTACAACTATTAACAGACTGCAATTGAGGATTTTTAAAAGGATAAAATTTGGCCTAATATGCTGCATCAGAATGGGCAATTTTCTTTTATTTTTAATCATTAACAGTAGGATTTGGCTTGTTTCATCACCCACAAACAGATACTACATGTTATTACCTAACCATGCGTTGACTGGTAAAATATTGAAACTATAGTCAAAGTGGGGAAACAAGAGGCATAGACAAAAGGTAGTGGATAGGAAGCCTCACATACAAGAGCAGGGGAAATGCAAAACTATGATAGGTGCCTGACTACGGTACTCACCTCTAGGACTTAGGTTATTGTAACATAATTAACAGGTTTGACAGTAAGATCTTCATCTGCATAAGTGTTTAGTCTTTAGTTTGCCAGGAAGAACATTTGTTTTATAAAAGAAAAAAGTGCAGTTATTCAGTTTTTTCCCTCTTAATTTGAACTTTAAACAGTTTTGAGATAATGGAAGTTTTCATTTTGCATACATTGTGTATCTCTGAATTCCTTCCTATTATGCTCTGAAGAGAGAGAAAGATTCATTTTTGCCACTTATTTTGGTGTTGTGCATGGGTCTTCATAATTTTCTGGAGCAACACAATTTTGCCATATTATGCACAAATTATTTTCTAAAATATCATACGTCAAGCAAAATTCACCATTAATTATGTTACTGCAAGTTAGCAACCGATTACACATAATTATTTTCTGGTTTCTACTTCAGATGTGTACGTTTTTCTTCGATATCTGATGAGTAACATTTTATCTTTATCAATTTAATCTCACATATTTCTGAGCAATTATAATCTTGCTTTTAGGAATAGTTTTATCTAATACATTGTAACTTGTACATTTTTCTCGATTTAGCTGGTAAAAAAATTATTTGTGTAGACTTTATCTCATATGCAACTATTAATTTTTACTTGCCATGGAGTAGTTATGTTTGTACTTTTAACATTACTTTTGGTAATGTTTTTTTTTGCAATTCTTGTGCAGATCGTTGGAAGTCGGATGAGCCTCCATCATTATATGTGTTTATTAACTGTAGTACTCGTGACCTTTCTTCCATAGAGAAATATGTGGTACGTTTTTAGAAATTTAACCATTATAAAGCTCTGAAATGTGACGCTTAAATTTGCTTTAGATATAGGAACTAGGGTTCACATAGAGCTAGAAATTTTATTATACTCATGTTTAATAGATACCATTAAAAATTTCTAAATGGATTATAATAGGAAAAAGTATATTAATTTACAAATATAGTTGACTTTCCTAGAAAATTACAACTAACTACGAGTTTATAGATTTGTAATTGCAAGATTTTATCACGCCTAGTGACCCACATTCATGAAGCAACAGGATGGTGACACATATGCTAAACCTAATTGTACATACCAAGTCATTTTAAACATTTATGGACTTCCACTCATTTCCACACATCACATCCAAACCCTGATATACAGACACAAGAGATAATGAAAAAATACACGGATATATCTGAAGGTCTTTATAAGAAAAAGTTACCCATACGACATAATATCTCAAGGTCAACATGAATCTCCAAAATAAATAAACAGATAGCTAAGAGCGTTTGAGAACCGTTGCGTTTTTGCCGTTTCTGTTTTTTTTTTTAACAAAAACAAAGAAACGCGTTTGGCAACCGAGGCGTTTTTTTGACTTGTCCCTTTACAAAATCTAAAAATTAAACACTTTTCTCAAAACACCAAAAATGTGTTTTGAGATTCCGTTTTTTCATCTAAGCCGCCGCCGCCCGCTCGCCCGTCGCTGCCGGCCCTTTTTTTTAACAAAAACAAAGAAACGCGTTTGGCAACCGAGGCGTTTTTTTGACTTGTCCCTTTACAAAATCTAAAAATTAAACACTTTTCTCAAAACACCAAAAATGTGTTTTGAGATTCCGTTTTTTCATCTAAGCCGCCGCCGCCCGCC